TTAAATTAAGGGCTCAATTCCCAGATTATATTATCAAAAGAGTCAGACTTGACAATGCTGGAGAGTTTACATCTCAAGCATTTAATGATTATTGTATGGCAGTGGGAATTAATGTTGAACATCCTGTAGCACATGTTCACACTCAAAATGGTCTAGCAGAATCATTGATTAAGCGACTGCAGCTTATAGCCAGACCATTGATAATGAGGACAAAACTCCCTACTTCAGTATGGGGACATGTTATTCTGCATGCAGATAATCTAATTCGCATAAGACCAAGTGCACACCATACATACTCGCCATTACAATTGGCATCTGGTCGAGAACTAAATATTGCCCATATAAGATTTTTGGTTGTGCGATATATGTACCAATTGCTCCGCCCAACGTACAAAAATGGGGCCTCAAAGAAGGTTGGGAATATATGTTGGATATGAATCTCCATCAATAATCAAATACCTTGAGCCAAAAAAGGTGACGTTTTTACAGCTCGGTTTGATGATTGTCATTTTAATGAAGAATTATTTCCCCCTTTAGGTGGGAATTAAAAGTTAATTGAGAAAAATATTGAATGGAGAACATCATCACTATCATATCTTGATTCTCCCACCAAACAAAGAGAGCAAGAAGTTCAAAAGATCATACATCTGCAGAATATTGTAAATCAATTGCCAGATGCATTTACTGACACAAAAGGGTGACAAAATCACATGTTGCAGCCATAAATGCCCCTGCTCGAATTGAGATTACAAAAGAAATGGCAAATGACGAATTGCCAAATGAATTAAAGACACGCTTGAAACGAGGAAGACCAGTGGGGTCTAAAGATAAGAATCCTCGAAAGAAAAGAGAAATTCAAGATTCAAATTTGAAAAAGAATCAAGATGATGAAAAAATTTCGGAACGAAATGAAAATATTAAAATCTCCATCAATTACGTAAATAATGGGAAACTTTGGAAGCTTGATGAGATCATTGATGATGCATTCGCATATATGGTATCACAAGAAATTGATAAAGAAGTTGAGGATCCTGAACCAAAGTCTATGATTGAATGTCAGAAAATACATGATTGGGACAAGTGGAAAGACGCTATTCAAGTCGAGTTAAATTCACTTAATAAACGAAAGGTTTTTGGACCTATTACTATTATACCCAAAGACATAAAACCTATTGGACACAGATGGGTTTTTGTCAGAAAAAGAAATGAGAAAAATGAGATCATAAGATATAAAGCTCGTCTTGTAGCACAGGGATTCTCCCAGAGGCCTGAGATCGATTATGATGAAACATATTCCCCTGTTATGGATGCAATTACTTTCAGATACTTGATTAGTTTAGCCATCCATGAAAATCTTGAGATGCAGCTCATGGATGTTGTGACTACTTACTTATATGGATCGCTAGACGCTGATATTTATATGAAAATTCTAGAAGGAATTAGAATACCCGAGGCGCTAATGTCCAAACCTAAAAAGTTATGTGCGATAAAACTGCAAAGATCATTTTATGGCTTGAAACAATCCGGGCGTATGTGGTACAATTGTTTGAGTGAACAATTGCTTAAACGGGGATGCATAAATAATCAAATATGCCCGTGTGTTTTTATAAAAAGATCACAAGATGGAGTTGTGATAATTTTTGTCTATGTCGATGATCTTAATATTATTGGGACCACAAATGAAATCCAAGAAGCAGTCACCTTATTGAAAGGCGAGTTTGAAATGAAAGATCTCGGACAAACCAAATATTGTCTCGGCTTGCAAATAAAACGAGTCCAAAATGGAAAATTTGCCCATCAATCTAATTACTAAAGGAATATTGAAACGATTCAATATGGACAAGGCTAATCCACTTAGTACCCCAATGGTCAATCGAACATTAGATGTTGCTCTTATGTGAGTGCAATAGGAGCTCTTATGTATCTTGCTAATCCACTTACCATATATGAGTGCAATAGGAGCTCTTATGTATCTTGCTAATTGCACCAGACCAGATATATCTTTCGCTACCAACTTATTAGCAAGATATAATTCGGTGTCTACGAGGAGACATTGGAATGGAATCAAGCATATATTCCGTTATCTCCAAGGGACAATCGATTTGGGATTGTTTTACTCTAATGATAAAAAATATAAAATAATCGGTTTTGCAGATGCAGGATATCTATCGGACCCCCATAAAGCAAGATCTCAAACCGGTTATGTTTTCACGATTGGTGGAACTGCATTCTCTTGGCGCTCCCATAAACAAACGTTAGTTGCGACTTCTTCAAACCATGCTGAGATCATTGCACTTCATGAAGCAACTAGGGAAAGCATCTGGCTCAGAAACATGACTCAACATATTCAACAAGCCAGTGGACTATCGAACAATAATGACCCGACGGTGATATACGAAGACAATGCAGCATGTGTCGCTCAAACCAAAGAAGGATACATTAAGAGTGACAGAACTAAACATATCCCGCCAAAGTTCTTCTCATATGCTCAAGAGCTTGAAAGAAACAAACAAATCAAAGTTCAATACATTCGATCAAGCGATAATGCAGCAGATTTATTTACGAAGGCGCTTCCAACGATAATATTTCGAAAGCACGTACACAATATTGGAATGAGACATCTTCGGGATTTGTACAGATGATAACTCAAGGGGGAGTATGTGCGGCTGTACTCTTTTTTCCTTATCTCGGTTTTTTTCCCTCAAGATTTTTCCAGATAAGGTTTTTAACGAGGCAGCATAAACGCACATTTAATAGTAATAATTCCAAGGGGGAGTATTATAAATATGTGGAATTACCACTAATATTAATATTAATATTATCTTGTTCCTTGAAGTGTGTGCTAGTAGGCTTAAGATTTGCCTATAAAAATGTACCTTGGGCTTTGTAAAGTTTGTACTGAAAAGAGAAAAGAAAGGCTTCTTGTAATTTAGATCCGGTTTTTACATTGTGTTCTTTATCTTCCTCGCATTTTATAACATAAATTTTGTATTTTTATGTATTAATTTTTGGTGCTTTGAATTCGTACTTATTAGAACTTTTAAAATTATATAATAATTGACTAATTTAATTTATAGGTGTTTAAAATAATATTTTCTTACATATTAACAACTTTTAATAAACAATATATTAAATCAGTCATATTCAAATGGTATTTGGTTTGTCATCCATACTCAGGGGCGGAGCCACCTATGGGCTAGGGTGGGCTCCAGCCCCATGTCAAAAAAAAAAAAAAAAAAAAAAAAAAAAAAAAAAAAAAAAAAAAAAAAACTAGCTTTACCTTTTAAAAATTATATATCTAGCTCTATCTAAATTTTTACCTAACCTTCTCTAATTTTGGGTTGTGTGAGCTCAAATGAAGTTCATAGACAAAAAGAAACAAGATTTCGAGCAGCTCTGCTCATCAATGGCGAAATTTTCCAATCATGCGTGAACTTGGAGAAGACAACTCATGTTCAAGTTGGAAATGACCATTTTATCATCACTTAAATAGATACTTTGTGTCATCCCATGATGTTTTTTAATTTTATTCTTTTTTGGGCTAGTACAACGAGTTAATATTTGGTCCACTAAATTAAAAAAAAAAAATGAACTGACATGTAATTATTTTTTGGGCCTTTTTGAACATATTGAATTACATATTCTTTGACCGATTCTCTCCGGTTTCGCCTCCATTAATTATTTGGATCCCATTTTCTATTAAAACACATCATCATCGCTTAATAAAATTAACTACAACAAGCAAAAAGTATATAAAGACGAAACGGAAACAGAAATTATTGTAAAATACATGTAAAAGTGGCGCGTGTCATTGAGTCATTTAGCAACGGCGCCAAATTTGTTTTGTACAAATTGTTATTTTACCGAGTACCGAATCGAAAGATTCGTTCCCCGGGTCGATCTCACGAGGAAGGCAGTTCGGAATTTAGCTTTGATATTGACACATAAAAAGAAAATAAATCTTAAACACTCTAATCGGATAGCAGATTGGATGAATTATTAACTAAGAAATAAAATAAAAAATAAAAATAATAATCTGCCTAAAAATATAAACGAAATAAAGATAGAGAAGCTAGAGAATCGAGGATAATCAATTCAAGTTCTATTTGAAAAACGGGAACATTGATCATTCTATTCCAGATTGACACTCTCGCTTAAACATCTAGCGGTTCGCTCCCAATAACTCTTCGTAACAAGAGATTGAACATAGACGAACAAGTCCGAGCATACAATACATGTCAATTATCCAATCCCAATAACTTTTCGTAACAAGGGACAAGACACCGACAAACATGTATTTCAATCCAAAACCATAGATTATTCAGTTATGAAATCATCTACCTCATGCGAGCCTATGTCTACGACTTTTTCCCTTTCGGTTCTAAAAGTCGCTAATTAAATTAGAAGAGAATTGATCAACTAACTATTTAGAATCAACAAAACCCTAACTCGACTAACCAATATTCAATCGTTTTCAATTGCAAGATCGAAGTGTCACTCTTCGATTATATCAATTAATCAAGCAAGATTACATCAATCCCTAATCAAACTAACTCGCACAAAAACGAACAAATCAAGCCCGACAAATGAAATTCAAACAAGATCAATCATTATCCTATACCTAGCAATAAGAATCAACTATGTAACATGAATTCAACACAATAAATCATTCTCCTAAAATCAACCATTTTCATGAATTAATTAAAAGGGAAAAATTTACATTTAGTCCCAAAATCCAAGTGTTGACTGGAATTACAAGCTTAATCCCTAAGTGCTATAAAGAAGAAGAAGAAAAATGGAAGAGAAAGGTGAGAAGAAGAGGAAAAACGAAGAAGAAAAGAGAAGGAAGGAGAAGGAAGGAGAAGGAGAGTTCTCGTGATTTTTCTCGGGACCTAAGGCTTTCACCCGGTCGAGAGACGTCCCATATTGCGATCACGATCTCAATATATATATTACACACGAGCCACAGCGTGAGAAATCATCACGGGCGCGAAAAACACATGCGTCGTGTCGCGGAGGTAGTGTCACGGTGCGGGGAGGCCATCTGCCACGGCGCGGGGAGTATCGCGAGCGCGGCGCTGGGCGTAGAGTGCAGCAGATGCCGCGGCGTGACGGAGTGGAGTGTCGCGGCCCGACGCTGGATGGTACCGCGGGCGTGATGGGGTCTTCTGCCGCGGCCCGAGTGCAGCTGTATCGCGGCGTGAGGGGGTCTTCTAGCGCGGCGCGGTGGCGCGCGGTGCCGTGGCGTGAAGCGTCCCGCGGCGTGGAGGGGATCCTGGGCGCTCTGTCGATGTTGTGGCACTGCCGCGGCGCGTCGTGTGCGGGGCGCTGGGCCTGGGACTGGTTGCTTTCGTGCACGACTTCGCGTCTCGGGCTCGTTTGGGCTCGTCTGGTATCGAAATTCGATTCCGCTTTTTCCTGCTCATTGCCAACGAAACCTTCCATACACTTACGCTTGCAAGGTCAATTTTCGCCTGAAATCCGGTCCTCCCGTGACTTTCGACCTACACACCATAAACAAAGAAAACCCGGAGAAATATACGAAAAACACACAGAAAACCGAAATAGAGCGAAACACACAATAAACATTAAAACGAGCTAAAAACCGCGAGAAGACCTAACATGGGGGAAAAAGAAAGACAAAATGACAACGAAAAAAGTAACAAAAATGGGACAAACACTCATAGCGAGTTGATCGATTACACTGTCGACTCGACTTGTTTGATATGAGCTCGTGCAAATATACAAGCTAGTCGAGCTTGAGGTTTTACATGTCAAACAAAACTATGTGGACAACTCAATTCAAATAACATCAGTAATTTTACAGCCCCAGGTGAAAAAAAAAAATCTAGCTACGCCCCTGTCCATACGGTTTACATATAATAGACAATTGTTGTTTTTTTTTTTTTTGGCCGGAACGATAGAGGAACTATAATAAACCGAGCGCACAAAGTGCAAAAAAAATACAAAGCTCCCAACGGGAGAATAAAAAAACAACTTAAAACAGAAAACTGAGAGGACTGGTCAGACGACTGCCTAGAACCCGACTCTAGCAACGCTAGAAACCAAAAACTAGACTCACAAGACAACTACTACACAAAACACGAATAAAAACTACAAGGCTCCCCACAGGAGAATCGAGACGGGAGCTGCTCCCCACAGGAGAACCAAAGTTGCTCCCGCTCATGCTTACAGAGATCAACTGATCCAAACCAAAAACACAAGATCCTAAACAACACCACCAACGGACCAAACCTAAAAACAACCTTACCACACAAGAAAAAAGAACAACTGAAAAAAAAAACACACAAGAACAAGCCCTCCCTCTTCAGCAACACCAAACCAGACTGGCAGCCACAAAATCAACCCCGAGAAACCCATCGTTTGAGATAAACGACCCCTCCACTGCAATTAAGCCTAGCTGGATCGCGACTCACACCGCTAGGCCTCCCAGAAGCTAATTCTCCCCAACACCAGAGATACCGAGAAGCACCAACACGGCCAGACGGGACCCCCTAACACCACTAGCGGACTCCGATGAACCGTGAACACCCCAAATCCCAAAAGCAGGGAACCAGGAGAAAGGGCAATCAGTACTGCAGCCTCAGCCACCCGATCCCAAACGCCAAAAGAACATGAGCCGCACACAAGCCCACTCCTCGAACACCAGAACACCGCCAGCCACAAGCGAAGAAAAACCGAGACAGAAGCGGCAAGAAGGAACACACCCTCAATCGAGACCGGCAACTACCAATCTACAACCAAAAGTTGTCCGCCTACACTCACCAATCCGCCGGCGAAAAAGAACAAAGCAGCCCAACGGCTCCAGCACCCCGCGGCTACCGGAAAGCACACCGACGCAGTCAAATTCGGGGAGAGGGAAAGGACCCAAGACCTTCAGCCTGAGAAGAAGGACCGCCAAGGCCGCACCCAACCCTGACCCGGAGCACCGCGAACCAAAGACTCACCTCGGCGACGAAATAATGGCGAACCCTCACCCAATTTCGGAGAAACCGAATTAGGGTTGGAACCACTAGGACCTCCGACACCATAGGCAAGCTTGGTCGCAGCACCTGGGAGGCCAGACGGCGAGGGGGGCTACCGGAGGGGCCGGCAGCCGAGAGAGGCGACAATTTACGAGAGAGCGACGGGAATTTGGGGGCGAATTGTTGGGAACGACAATTGTTGTTTATAAGTATAAAAATATAATTATCTACAAATCTTAATTTTAAAATAAAATAAAATTATTCAATAAAATAAATTTTATTCATGTTCCCCACTTATATAACTTTAAGTAAAATATATAAAAATTATATATTATAGAATGAACAAGTCATACGCGCAACATGTGTCATTTTGAATAAAATTAATAATTCAAAATTTCAAAAAAACTCAATTGTATTTTGTAAAATAAAAATTTCCATTTTTATTTTTATTTTTTCAAAATTTGTAAAGTATAATAATTTTTATCACCTACTTTGAATAAATCCAAGATGGATAAGCATAGCCACGTATGATATTATAATATCTGCACAATGTACATTTCACAATACACGTGTCCCAGCGGTGTTGCCTTGTAGGACACCATGCTCACACCAGTCTCCCCTCGAAGTTTCACAAACCCCTAATCGCCCACGCTCGCACTCTCACTTTCCGGCGCACCGCCCGTGGATCTACAAATTTCTCCGGCCGCCTTTTTTTTCGTATTTAAGAGATTTACCACAAATTAGGTCGATCCTTTGCTGTCCTTTGCTTGCGTGATCGAAGAAAATGGTGGTTGGGAGGTGGACGGAATGTAGGGGCGATCTGTTGGCGGAGGGCGCCAAATCCGTGAGGCTTCGGCTGAAGGATCGTTTCAGGGTGGCTGCGGTGGACTACCGCCGCTCCCGGTGTATGGGTTTCTCCGGCGGCGGCTACTTCTCCTCCACGGTCCATCGCTGGCTCGATCGGTTCTCTGAATTTCGCCACGGTTCTCTGCCGTCCGCTTCAACGTTTTACCGCAAAAAAGGTTCGGGGTCTCTGGTTGATCGTTTGTGTAAAATTTTAATGATTAGATTCTCGTACTTTCAATTCAATGTCAAATACCAATGTTTTCCATTTTCTTATTCCCTCAACTGTTGTTTTATTCTAGAAATTGATGTTAAAGTAGGGCAGTTTCTTTGTCTATCACTTCCATTTGCCTAATTTTTGAGTTTGTATTGTAGTGAGTAAGGATATTGATGCAGAAGACGATTCAGTCTTGACCCGTATGCTCCAGGCTGTTGCTGTTCCTGTGATTGGTAATGTTTGCCATGTTTTTATGCACGGGCTCAACCGCATTCAGGTAAACTCGTTTGCTTATCTGTGTGTGCATTTAGGAAAGACCACCTGACTAATCATGGTCTCCAGATTTTTGGTGCAGAGAAATTGGAACATGCGCTGCTGCACAGGCCAGAGAACAAGCCTCTCCTTACGGTATGCATCATTCCTGGTCCACTTTTTGTGAATGCTCGAGCTTGTATTGTGAAAAGGTTCTGTAGAACCTTCATATGATGTGCACCTTTGGAAAGTGCATAATTGCATCCTTGTAACTTTACATGCACAATGTCGTAGTTTTCCACTTTCCTCTTAAACATTGAAGAAATATGAAACTTAAAAAAATTAAAACCTGGGCTCTAGCAATAATTTAGCATTTATTTAGTTGTTTTAACTATTTAAAATCATTTTACATACACACAATGGTTTCATCATTGGTGGGTGATATCAGGAATAATATCAATTATTATTGGAAGGAAAATAAAAGGGGAGTTATGTACTATAACAATTGTTCAATAAAGAGCAGAAAAGAAAAGGAAAGAGGAAAACATAAAAGAATAGTTAAGGAAAAAATATTGGATTAGCTGCTCAAACACCAAGTGTGAGGGTTGTCCCTTGGCATAGGGACAAAAGACAATAAGAGAAAAACATGAAGAGTGGAGTGGGCGGGTGTGGCGTGAAGAAATCTAAAAGATTATGATTAAAGATGGCTGAATAGTAGGGTGTGAAAAACCTATGTTTGGGATTATCTGCAACTGCAACACCCTTCTGCCTTGGGTCCATCCTTAAGTTATGTTGTCTCAGCACCTTATTTCATTTGCTCGTGAACTTCTTTGGTTGTTATTAACTATTCTAAAAGTAGCATCTGGCATTCAAGTGGCTGTATTGTGGTTTTGATGAAATATTTTTTCTTACAGGTTAGCAATCATGTCGCAGCTATGGATGACCCTTTGGTTATTGCTTCCCTTCTCCCTCGTAGTATGCTGTTAGATGCCAAAGGTTTGAGATGGACCCTCTGCGCATCTGATCGATGCTTTAAAAATCCAGTTACGTCCGCATTCTTCAAGTACGTGAAAGTGCTGCCAGTTTCTCGTGGAGAAGGGATATATCAAAAGGTATTTGCTAGATGAACCATTCAATTCTTTAGCTTTCTCTTAGGTAGTTTGGTGTCACGTAGGTTATTTTATTTGCTGGTAATCATATCATATTTGCAATGCAGGTTTCATGAATGTAGCATCTGGATATTACTGGGTATTTTTCTCATCGGTTCTCAATGACATTGAATTGTTATTAAGTGAGAAGAGACAATGTCTCTATCCTTATTAAAATGGAAGATTAGAAATAGGCACGAATTTGGATTTATGTGGCTTGGTTGTATAATTGTCTCCAAGTATTTGGTTGTATTATTTTTATGAATATACAACTTATAGGAAATTTTTGTTTTTAATTTTGACTACCTTAATGCCCTTGTCATTTTATTAGGACTTAATGTTTTACGAGAGAGGGCAAAAAAGTTGCTGGACAAAATATTATAAGTTTTTATTATGGGTATTAGGTTGAAGGGAGTTCGATGTGATCTTGTAGATGATCTGATTAAGTCTTACCGAAAATCTGAAATTCTGCATTGCTAAAAGAACAGTTTAAAGGAAGGCTTTAATATCTGCAGCTTATTTTTTTTTTTTTTTCATTTTTCTTTTTATCCTTGCAAAACAGGACTCTGTAATAATCAATGTATATTTACTTTCAAATTGGTGTGCTTTTCGAAATCACTTCTTGCTTTGTTCCATGAAAATCAAGATTTCTGCTCATCCAATTGTTACTGCTGCAGGGAATGGACTTGGCTATTTCCAAACTGAACCGCGGTGGCTGGGTTCACATATTTCCTGAAGGCAGCCGTTCTCGAGATGGTGGGAAAACTATGGGAGCTGCCAAGAGAGGCATCGGAAGGTATGGATGTATATCCCCCTCACTTCTACTCGCATCAGCTTTTTTATGAACACTATAGCCGTATGGGTGTACATCCCCCTTACTTCTACTCGCATCACTTCTACTCGAGGCGAGGGCCACATTGCCTCGCCACTGCCTGAGGCGCTTGCTTTAGTTCGCCTCAGGTCGCCTTGTCGCGAGGCGCTTGCTTCAGGTCGCCTCGGCTCGCCTTTTTGCGTGGCGAGAGGCGCCTGTGAGGCGCGCCTCGGTGCCTTTCAGATGAAATAAAGGCGCAATCCATTTGAAAAAAAAAAAA